CCACCCGTGCAGGCTGTGAGCCGCAGAGGCAGGCCATTTGTCACCGCCGGGACGCCTCAGCCTCGGTGCTGTTTTGCTGAAACCCCATTTCCTCTGGGCCTTTCACCTCTTCCTTGCGTGTGGCGGACACATAATGAAATGCCGCCGTGGAGGTGTGTACTTTGACGACCTCGGGAAGACGTATACGCCCTGTAGCTGTCCCCGGAGCCAGGACGGCGACGTTTATGTCACCTGGCGCCCCTTCCCCTCAAGCGCCTCGCTCGACTCCTGGTTCCGGACACCGCAGGTGAGACGGGACTTTTCAGGAGCATCAGGCGAAGGGACCGGCGTGGTCTGTGTACGCGCTCTGGCTCAGCCCCGGCTTGGACGCGTCGTGGTGTGCATTTCCACACTCCCGTGCCTTCCGCTGGCGAGTCGTGTTCTGTGCTGTGGCTTGTCTGTCCGTCACCTGCCGAAGGCCTCTGAACTGTCTCCGGTTTGGAGCTGTGTGCACAGAGCCGCCGAGCGGTCAAGTCCAAGCGGTCGGCCTTCCCGCCCACAGGGCACGAGAGCCCCACGCCGGCACCAGCTCGGGGTGTCGGCCTTTTGCCCGCTACTCGTTCTGATGGGCGTGTAGCGGAGGCGCACTCGGTTTTGATTTGTGCTTCCCCCGCGATGATGACGCTGCGTGTCTTGGAAGTGTGGACTGGCCGTGTGTACTGCGTGGGGGTATTTTCACGGAGCACCTGTTCACACCCTTTGGGATTTGCTGGTTGCGAGGTTGCCTCCTTCCGCTTGTCGAGCTGTGAGTGTTCCTGACGTATCCGGGATGCACACTCTGTGTCAGACACATCGATATTTTCTGCCCGTCTGCAGCTTGCCTTTCCATGGTCTTATCAGTGCCTCATAGGGACCAGAAGCTTCTAACGTGGATGTGGCCCAGCTGACTGGTTTTGTTCCCTTGCAGTTTGTGCTTTGTGTGTCTTACCCGAGCAGCTTAGCTTATCTCACAGGTATGAGGTCTCCAGAGCTACGTTTTCTTCCAGGAGTTTTATAGGCTTAGCTTTGGCCTTTAAGTCTGCGATCCGTTGCGAGTTAATTTTTGCGTGTGCTGCGAGGCAACATTGAGGTTTATTTTCGCTTTCAAAAATGTGATGTTAATTTAATTTCGACTTTTGTAAGAGTGAGGGGCGACTACAGAATAGGACCTTGGAGCTACCTGCACCGGGCCAGTGACACTGTCCCGGAGCCTCTGCGTCTCGTCGTTCCCGTGAGGGAGTGCACGCACGGGTGCTGCCTGCCTTAAAGCTCTTTACGAAAGCTCTTACTTCTCCTGAGGGCGAATGTCAGAATAAAAACCAAGTTCTAACTTGTACTAGTCTAAAAACACCTCTTTTGCAGGAAAGGCTCACCACGCCCTTGACTTAGTAATAATCGTTTTACGTCGTTATCCACCGAACCCCGTGCTGTGTTCTGATTTCGCCCGTTTTCCCCAATGTGCCCCTTCTGCTCTGGGATCCGGCCCACGTTCCGACGTGGATTTAGTCGCGAGGTTCCCCTCCCCGCCTCGCCCCCGGCTCCTGTGCCCTCACGATGTCCGACTTCCCTCGTCTGTCACGAACTCTCGCGGCATCTGTGGGCCGCTCCCCAGCCTGGCTCTGTGTGACGTCTATCTCCGGACCAGCCCGGGGGTGTGGATCGTGGAGAATGCACGGGGTATTCCGCCGTCACTGGGGGGACCGTTGTGTAACCGTCAGGCCAGGCTGGTCGGCAGCGTAGTCCGAGCCCCCAGCACCCTCACTTAGCCTCCGAGTCTCGCTCTGCCGACCCCTGGCAGATGGTATCGAAACGTCCGGCTGGGTCGAGGATGCGTTTGCCCCTTTGGTCAGCCCTCTCGGTCTTGGCTTCGTGCATTTTCGACGCGTGTCCTCGGGTGAGCGTCCCCTTGACCGGCGACCGCCTCGTCCTCACAAAGCCTGCCCTTCTCCTGGGCGCCACCCTCGTCCCAGCGCCGCCTCTGTCCCCTTCCTGCCGGCGCGGCCGCCCAGCTTCCTGGCGGGCCGTGCTCACGTGCGTGACCCTTTCCAGCCTTTTGCTGTTGGCGTATCTGTGTCTTTGTATTTAAAGCGGATTTCGTACAGGCCGCTTTCACCAATCCTGGCAATTTCGTCTCTTTAATTGGAGTTTTTAAGTTTTTCCATGAAATATAGTTATTGACCTGGTTGAGTTTAAATGTGCCACCTCGTTACTCATTCTCTATTTCTCTCATTCGTTCGTTCTTGATATTTTACTCACTTTTCCTATGTCATTTGGGTACTGAGCATTTTCTAAATTCCATTTTTTCCCTCTACTCCTGATTTATGAGCTGTACTTTGCTTTATTTCTTTGTGGTGACTCTCGGTTTTACAATCTGTATCATCAGCTGTCATAGTCAACCTTTGAACCCACCACTTCTCAGTGGCGTGAGAACCTTCCAGCCGCGTCCTTGAATTTCTCGCACTGCGCTCTCTGTGCTGAGTGTCACGGATTTGACTCCGTAAGTGCAGAGCTCCCCGTGACACGCCGCCGTCACTCCTCGCTTCCAGCGGTCAGTTACGCTTCTTCCTCCTCTCTCCGTGCAGACCCGCGTCTGCGTTCTTCGATATGTCGTTGGTCACCTAGCTCTTGTTTCTCCCATTGAAAGTGTGGATTATGTCCTGGTGGGCAGTTAAGTTCTGTGCAAATCAGCCCGGTGCCTCCAAGACCTGCTTCGAAGCTTTGCCAGGACGGTGGTCAAGTCCCACTGCCCAGGCGTCTTCCCTCGGGGGTCTCCGCCGGACTCCAGCTTGACCGCCAAGCATCCTCCTGTCTGGCCATTCGGAGCTCAGACCTCAGGAGGTGAGGTTGGGGGATGCTGGGCGCAGATCATGTGGCACCCTGCAGGTCCACGTTGAGGCCACTGCAGTGGTTCTCTTGGGGACGGAGGCGATGAGGCGTGGTCAGGTTCTGGCACATTCCAAAGGAAGAGCCAAGCTTATTTCCAGAGAGGAAAGAAAGAGGGGGAGTCAAAGAAGCCTCCAGCCTGAGCTGCTAAAGGAGGGAAGGGCCCCCTCAACCCCATCAGCCACAGGCGGCACCGGGGCGGGGCATGGTCTGGCCGGCAGACACGAGTGTCGAGTAGCCAGGTCGAGAGGAGCCTGGAGCTGCCTCTCCGCTGGGGACGTGACGTGGGGAGTCGGCAGGGGCAGGGAGGACTGAGCCCCAAGACCCATCGCTCAGGGACAGAATCCCGGAAGAAGGAGGGTGGCCGTTGGCGACCTGACACCAGGCGGAGCGGAGGGGCTGGGACAGGAAGCGCAGGGTGGGTGCAGCGGGGGAGCTTCGGGCGAGGAGGGGGCCACGGCGTCCGAGCTCGTACCCAGAGGCTCGTCGCTGGAGGAAGAACAAAGGGGAGTCTGAGACCAGCCGGGCCCAGGGGCAGGCGGGCTGGGCTCCCTACGGGGAAGAAGATGACAAAGCTAGAGCCAGGGTGAGTGAAGGGGCCACGTTGGGGACGGAGCCCCGCCTCCCACAGGACTTCGGGCGAAGGCTGGGGGTTCGTGTCCTCTTGGGGTGCCCAGCAGCTGGCAGAGCCTGAGACCTGTGCAGTCCCTCCCGTGCCTGGGATCCTGGGCGCCACAGAGGTGTGACAGCGTGCCACACCGCAGAGCCCCGGCCCCCCACCTCGGACTTCCTCTGGGGGGCACACCAGCGGATGGAGGGCTCCCGCCCCGGAACTGGCCTCCTGGCAAGAGAGGGAGCTGACCGGGAATGCTGGCTTCCGTGCCGCGATGGGACGCTTCTCCGGTGTCACCCACATGGCTGCTCAAAGGGACCCTGGAGCCACGCGCTGCAGCTGCCCCCACAGCGACCCCCTCACCGCTCCCCCTCGCCCGGCTTTCCTCCCTTCCTTCCCTCCTTCCCAGTTCCCCGCACCCTCCGCATGCCCTGCCAGCCCCGACTCCTTGTCCCCGGGTCCGCTTTTGAGCGACTGGACCTAAGAGCCGTGGACGGGGGGTGGGAGGGGAGGGACAGAGGGCCACCCGCTCCCGGGCGTCTGTCCGTGGGTGAAGCGGGCCCAGGGAGACGCCCCCAGAACAGGGATTAGAACACACGCCAAGGAGACGAGGTAACGCGGGAGCTTAGCGCAGCGCCGCCCCTTGGTGGATGCTCACTCCGTAAATGTCAATAAGCGGTGGCTGTCATTTAAAATGACCTCGAGGGCATTTTCAAATGGCTCGTTCCGTCTCCCTGGAATTGCTGGATTTTGCTAGAATAGGAACACGTCCTCGGGTCTAAAACCACGGGGTCCTGCTGGGTCCGTTTTCGCTCGCAAGCCAAGCTAAAGCTTGAAGTTTGAGCACAAACATGTTGTTTACGAGAAACACTATTGCTTCTTAATAATATTTTCTAATTTTAGTGCGGCTTTATTGCAAACAGCTATAATCACAGCCTTAGTCATTCTGACTTGCATTATTTTTAAAACGAAAAGGACGCAGTGTGTAAATGACAACGAGCCACTCGCCCGCGACGCCCGAGGGTGGCCCCCAGACAGACCGCAGCACTGGGTCCGTGACCGTCAGAGACGGCGTGGCCAACGACAGAGGGGGAACCTGCGTCGTGGCTTCAGAACCTGGCAGAGTGAAGGCCACGAGCACCCCAAGGAAGCAGACGTTCAAAGCCAGGCTCTGTGGGGGCCGCGCGCACGTGTCCCGTCTGACTGCGGCGAAAGGCACAGACGTGAAGTGTGCACCGTGGGCTCCGGTGAAAGTGCACGTGCGTG